ACGACTATAAACAACAAACAGACGACACGACTATAAACAACAAACAGGCGACTATAAACAACAAACAGGCGACTATAAACAACAAACAGACTATAAACAACAAACAGACTATAAACAACAAACAGACTATAAACAACAAACAGACTATAAACAACAAACAGACTATAAACAACAAACAGACGACACGACTATAAACAACAAACAGACGACACGACTATAAACAACAAACAGGCGACACGACTATAAACAACAAACAGACGACTATAAACAACAAACAGACGACACGACTATAAACAACAAACAGACGACTATAAACAACAAACAGACGACTATAAACAACAAACAGACGACACGACTATAAACAACAAACAGATGACAGGACTATAAACAAACAGATGCTCCATCTTTTAGGTCACAACTAAATCGCGAGTTGGCAAATATACGCGCGTCGTGAACACTTCCTGGCCATTTCACAACAACGTCCATGAAACAGTATTTGTAGTCACACGCGGCCTGCACATTCAAAGAATGTTTCCCCCTTCTGTTGATGTAGTCTGTAGAGTTAGCACGTGGTTGTTTCACTTTGATATGTGTACAGTCAATGGCCCGTAAGCATTGTGGCATACCGTGTGTTTGGAAGAAGTTGACCACAAGGTCCCTCACTTCGGGCTCGGTACCCGGATGTACTTGGGACGCAGGAAGACGGCGATGGCCCTACAGACTTGTCGGATGATGACTGAAACAACTTGTCGAGATAGTCCAAATGCATTAGCGGTTTTCCGGAGTCTGCCCTCGTCACTCGGGTAATACAACGTGCACGCTACCTTTGTAAGTACATCCACGGGCGCCCTCATCGTGGTTGTTGCTCCCTCCACATGCGGACGTAATATTTCGCTAAGGTTGATCAATGCCGATCTGGACATTCGAAGGTTTTCCTCGCCATTCTTCGGGAATCATAACTTCATTGATGAAATGATTCCACCAGGCGCTCGTTCTTCCTGGCCTCACCCAAAACCAGCGCTCCGTGTACGGCTGATAACGCCTCTGGACTCGGGAATTAAAAGCAAGCAAGGCTTGCCATTCGTTATCCATGTTGAAATGAATTACTGGCAGCCCTGGCTGTTTGTTTTCTTCTGGGTACGGGTCACGTGATAGTGAGTGTGACGAATCAGGGACGGAGACATCATGGCTGCTAAGGACCAATCCAGTAGCGAACACGGGTGTGGGCGTCATTTCTTCTAAACATCAGTTTCCGACCGTCCACACTCAAACGCAACCCCGGTATTTTCAAACACCTCCAATCTCGGGGGTGTTTTCAGACTCCTCCGTTTAGGGTGCTCCAAACTCCGGCGTAGTGTGGCCGCTCAGTGTAAACGTAGCAAAACATGTGTCTCCAAACAAAAACGGAGTAATGTGGACATGGCCTCAGGCTGCATATGAAGACGCACGGGCTTATCTCTGCGACCGATTGGTTGATTTCCATGGTTACCCCTCTTTCCACGCGTTGGAGCCAATAGAATTGACCTATTGTCACGCAGATAAGATTGCCAGCACTGGTAGCCAGACAAAATACAATAACGCCCCGCGTATCGTAGGATCCGATATGCTGAAAGTCAAATCCTCTCCCCCGCTCACCCCTCCCTAGTTCTCCCCCGCTCACCCCTCCCT